GGGGAACTATTGGACATGGACTGTCTATTAACTGCAAATGAAGAGGATCATAAGTACATTACAGAGACTTAAGGGAGATCATGTAAATTTTATGATGACACAACCAAACAAATCTTAATGACCGGTCTCTTACTCCCGATGACACAATTTTTACCCGAAATGAAGTCCGCAAAATAAAAACTTTTTAATTTCTCGCCTTTGGTGGCACCGAGAAAATGAGTCGCGGCATCTTGTCTTGGAGGCGATTAATACTAAAAATAGGTCTCCCCTCTCCCTCCCCCCCCACCATCCGATAATGGTAAGCGTGCGTTCGTGGCACAGGTTATCCAAAATAACTATTTGATTTTAATCGGAACCACAGTAACGTTCGGGATTTGACGTTCCTGGTGCTGTCCCGCGTATGAAGTAGACAAAGAAAGGACCACAGTTTCTAACTTTAACGACGTTGAATACTTCTTCACAATTACTAAACGAACGGAAATAAACCCTCCTGTTCACCCTTCCATCTTCTTTGCTGGGATGCATGTCAAACTCATGGGGTACAAACAGTCTTAAAATGAATGTAGTGACCACGCCCACTTCAACACCCCACTCAAATCGAGTGTAATTTTCGAATGTTTTACCATTGTGCGGATTCTCTACGGAAAAAGCACTCAATGTACCTCTGAAATATTAAACTATAATATTGTGGCTTTCTATTTCGCTAATTTTCTAACTTGAAGGTAAAGTTTTTCCCTCGTCATTTTTACCTTTTCTCCGAGCGGTTGCGTGAAATTAACAAGGCGTTTTTGATCAAAACACGACCGAGCGAAGGGTCTCGGGCGATATCTCTTTTACGCAGGCACAAATTAAAAATGTACCGCCAGAATCAAAAAGAGGAACAAATTTCCTTTGTTTTGATATGTAAAGTGTCGAACAAAAAGCAGATTTACCCTCGTCAAATGGCGTTTCAAAACAGCTGTATCTTCCTCCTTTTGATTTTTTCCTGTTTTGTAAGCGTGAAAGCAGTAGGAGAGGGATCGGGAAACTCAGAAAGCGCTTCGGGAATTAGTCTGCCAAGATTTGTGAAGTTCGTTGAAGTACGAAGTCTAAATAAATGCCTTTTTTAAGCTTGTTTGCTGGATTTTTCGTAAATTTTTCGTTTTTTTTTGTATCTTTCCTTCGTGGATTCGCCTTTCTAACAAGGGTTTATGTTGAGTATTCATTGCAAAGTCGCTTTGTTTTTTTTCTTTCTTTGGCTTGTCCGCCATTTTGAAAATTCGTAACGGAGAGCATGCGCATTACGTAGGGTTAGTGGTTGCGTACACCTGGAACCGAGAAAAACAAATGTTCGTCGCACTGGGGAAAGAGTTTGATATGCCACCTTTGAGCCAGCCGGGTCTCTGTCCACCGCACCTTTTGAAAGGCACACATGAAGTGGCCATTTTTGTACCTGCCT